GGATTCGAACCCGCCACCTTAGGTGTATGTGGCTGGCTCCTTAGCCACTTGAGCCATAGGCGCCGAGCTGCTTATGCTTTTTTATCCAGCCTGTGCCTCTTCAGTGGGGAATTCAATCCATTGACTTTATTGAGAGTATCAATAAGTGTGGTAGAATTTTATTCATCTTGTTATTGGAAAGTCTGTTGTATAGTTTTATCCTTTGTGCCATTGTGGAAGCTAAGTTTTGGCGTTTGGCTTCTAGGTGTTAACTTTGCTTGTGGTCCATTATGGTGTTCAGTGTTGAGAATAGGTCTAAGCATTTCCTGTAGAGCTGGTCTTGTGGTGAATTTCCTCAGTGCTTATATATATGCAAAAGATTTGATTTCTCCATCAGTTTTGAAGCTTCATTTAGCAGGATACAGAACTCCAGGCTGAAAATTACTTTGTTTAAGGATGTTGAAGGTGGATGACCATGCTCGTCTGGCTTAGAAAGTTTCAGTTGAAAAGTCTGCTATCATTCTAATGGTTCTGCCCCTGTAGGTCCATTGATGCTTGCTCCTAGCTGCTTGTAAAATTTTCTTCTTCATCTTGATTTTGCACAGGTTCATTACGATGTGTCTTGGAGAAGCTCTGTTCTAATTGAGATGACCTGGAATTTGAAGTCCATCTGAAAAAAGTGTGTTGAGATCTTTAGTAAAACTTGGGAAGTGTTCATTTGTGATAGTCTCCAGTAGAGCTTCGATACCTTTGGGACAATCTTCTTCCCCTTCAGGTATTCCTATTAATTGTATGTTTGAAGGCTTCATGGAGTCTCATAGTTCTCTAAGCACCTGCTCTGCTTTCTCTCTCTTCTTTTCTGCCTCTTAACTGCCTGGGTTAACTCAAACACTTTATCCTTTAGCTCTGATGTTCTTTCTTCTCCATGGTCTAATCTATTTTTGATGTTTTCTACTGCATCTTTACATTCCCTGATTGTCTCCTTTATTTCCTTAAGCTCTACTGTATCCTTTCTATATTCTACATACCTCTTATCAGACTTTTGGTTTTGTCTTTCCATTTCCTCATCCATTTCCTTTATTGTTTTAGTCATCCATATTTTCAATTCCCTTTTTGTCAAATTCATTAATTCTTTACAGGAAGGTCTTCTGTAAAAGCTGC